CCAAATCCCTATGCACATTTAAATAACTGGAGGTTTTTGGTATCACCCAATAGGATTGGGAACAGTGTGGGAGCAGTTTGACAATGACAACTTACCTGGGCTCTGCTGGGCACTGAACAATCACCTCCTCCGCTGCAGCACTGTGCTAAGCGCAGTGGGGCCAGTCTTCCCAGTGCCAGGAGCAAGAGATGGCAGCAGCAATCTTTCGTGGAAGCCAGGCCTTTAGTGTGAAGATACAGTGTCCTACTGATTTCTCAGCTACATGGGGAAACAAAGCGGCACATTAAAGGGACACTATAGTCACCAGAACAACTACAGCTTATTTAATTTGTTCTGGTGAGTAGAATCATTACCTCCAAGCTTTTTGCTGTAAACACTGTCTTTTCAGAGAAAATGCAGTGTTTACATTACAGCCTAGTGATAACTTCACAGGCCACTCCTCAGATAGCTGTTAGAGATCCTTCCTGGGGCACCTGCCTAAAATGCATTCAAACATTCAGTGTCTCCACCCTCTGCAGGCAGACATTGAACTTTCCTCTCTATGAGGAGATGCTGATTGGCCAGGGCTGTGTTTGAATTGTGCTGGCTCTGCCCCTGATCTGCCTGTTTGTCAGTCTCAGCCAATCCTATGGGGAAGCGTTGTGATTGGATCAGGCTACCACTTCTGCTGATGTCAGCAGGCAGTGGGCAGGTCTACAGGAAACAGGGACAAAGCCTGCAGCTCCAGACTTGAATACAAGTAAAATTTTACTATTGTTAGGGAGGCATGAGGGGACCAGGGTGGCTATATGGTGGTTTCAACCCTATAGGGTCAGGAATACATGTTTGTGTTCCTGACCCTATAGTGCTCCTTTAAGCTTTTGGCTTGAATGGACAGTTCACCTCTACACCACCAGTTGGAACCTAAAAAAAGACCAGAAGGGTGCAGACTGTGCCTAACTAATAAGCCTAATACCACAAAGTTGTGTCTATTCTGCTCTTTGGCTTCTCCATTCTGTTGTATGTAATTTGATGGTGAGTGAGTAGGATGAATTGCACAGGTTTGTGAGACGTCTTAAATGTTAATAATCATATTTTGGTTATAAATATAGCGGTCAGATCTATTATGTCTTCTGGACACATATCAATTATACATGATGGTAGGCTGTACCTGCAAAAGGCTGCCCTGCAGTATGTAAATTCATATGCTGCAGGAAAAAAATAAGTTCATTAATCAAAAAGAAATCATAAAACAAATTGCCTTGATTAGTTAAATGATTCCTCTCCTGTAGCGGTAGCAGTAGCAGTTTTCATTTCCTCTTCATTAGCCCATAGAAATGATATTTGCCCAGATAAAAAATGGTGGACCTACCAAACCTAGTCACAGCTAAGACTTGCCAAAATATCTATATAATATGAAATCAATTATCAATCATTTTTCAATAATTTTTTTAAGACTTACATACCCGCAGAGAAGCATTTGTACTTCTGATAAAAGTAAAGTTAAAATCGTGCTTTTTAAAATAGTGAATAGATTGGAATATTGCATGCTGGCTTACATATCACTTACAACATTCATTACAGAATTTTAAAATTATTATCTCTGCTGGGTCTCAAGCACATGTTTTTCTTTTATCAAGTTTTAGAACACTTAGCTGTATGGGTATCTGAAACTTCCAGTATTTCATTACACATTATTCAACATAGTTAGTGACAGCATAATTTTATGGCAATAATGCTAATGGAATTCTCTTAAAATAAGTCAAGGTTTCCTTAGAACGTGGGTCACTGGTGACTAATACTGAATTGTAAAATATGCGCTATGTATATCAAATCCAAATCCATTTAATCGTGACACTTAATACAAATTTAAACCTTGAAAAGATTTGGTTGTGTACAAGTGATACTTTGGGTAGGAGGATTACAGTGACAATGTGAGATAGAAAAGGTTAAGTAGACTTCTGCATCTATATTCGGAAGTGAGATCTTTGCCCTACTTGTATATAATTGCACACAGGATTATACAAATGAAACACAAATGTTCATATGCTATTTTAATGCTTTAGTATAAAATATTCTGACATTATCATTCACTCCAAACCAGAAGTGGAATCTTTCCAATCTGTAAAGTTTTCAAATACTCACGATTTCTGCAGAACTAGACTTTCCTGAATATCATTGTCTTGAACAAAACCAAAGTGAGTCGTGGGTTTAAAAGAACAGAGAAACTAAATACTATATTCATAAGTAGACACATTTTATTACTCAGTGACTCATATCAATGTAGAAGAAAAAATAAAAATAATCATAATGTAAAAACAGTGTTATATCTTGAGAAAATCAAGCAATTTATGTCCTGCTCACAATGAGCAGATCTTCTAATCAACTTCATCTTCCAACAGGATTTGATAGTGAGAGAGAAGGACCATAAGCCCTATTACGAAAACACCTTGATTTTCCATTAGCAGCAAGAAGTCTTCATATTCAGAAATCACCCAGTATATGTCAGAGAAAGAGAATAGGAGGTAGAGACATAGCGAGTACTGTAAACATTATAATTTATTACATATATTACACTCAATATATCATGAGCTTGCAAAGGCTAAATCTCACAAATCCATCAAAACAAATATAAATGAGAAAGTATATTGCCTGTAGCTCTGATATACAAGAAACTATTTCTGTTCTAAATCATTGTATCACCATATACATTGATCAGCCAAAACATTAAAATCACCTGCCTAATATCGTAAAAAAAGTCCCAATCGATCTACCAAAACAGTTCTGATGCATCGAGGCATGGATTCACAAGACCTCTGAACATGTCTTATGGTACTGGGCACCAAAACATTAACAGCAGATCCTTTAAGTCATGCAAGTTGCAGGGTGGGGCTTCCATGGATCTTATTTGTTGTTCTAGCACATCCCCGAGATGCTCAATCAGGCAACACCTTGAACTCTTTGTCATGTTCCTCAAACAGTTTTTGCATTGTTGGAAGGGTGTATTATCCTGCTGAAATAGGCCACTGACATCATGGAACACCATTGCCATTAAGGGGTGCACGTGGTCTATAACAATCTCTAGGTAGGTGGTACATTTCAAAGTAACATCCACATGAATGTCAGGACCAAAGGTTTTCAAGCAGAACATTGCCCAGAGCATAACATTGCCTCCACCGGCCTACCTTCTTCCCATCTCTTCCCCAGTTAAACAACACCCATGCACCCGGCCATCCACCTGATCTATGTGAAAACGGGAGTCATCAGACCCAGCAACCTGCTTCCATTGCTACATGGTCCAGTTTTAACACGTCCCCATTGAAAAAGCTTTTGGTGGTGGACAGGGAACCTCACTGGGGACTCTGACCAGTCTGCGGTTACACAGCCCCATATGTTGCAAACTGTGATAAACTTTGTGCTCTGACACCTTTCTATTATGGTTAGCACTACGTTTTTTTTTTTTAGCAATTTGAGCTACAGTAGCTCTTCTGTGTTATCGGACCAGATAGGTTAGCCTTTACTCCCCACGTGCATCAATGAGCCTTGGGTGCCCATGATCCTGACACCATTTCCTTCCTTCACCACTGTTGGTAGGTAGTAATCACTGCATACATGTTCTGATCCAGTTGTCTAGCCATCACTATTTGGCCCTTGTTAAAGTCACTCAGATCTTTTCGTTTGCCCATTTTTCATGCTTCCAACTGTAGTGGTACTTACCTTACCCAGGGGCCGGCCGAGGTCCTCTTCACGCCGCGTGCGGCTCTCGAATGAAGGCGGGCACGGACCGCGAGATGCAGTCACGTGTCCCGCCTAGCTCTAAGAGCGTGCCACACGTCTCGGGCATGCTCTTAAAGGGGCAGTGGGAGCCAAAAAATACAATGGTCTCCCATTGGCCCCTGTCATCCCACATTCCCCAGACACTCACATTTTGGGGGCATGGATATGACAAGGGCCAATCAAAGTAAAGTTTAGGGTATTTATACTTACCTCTTCCGTAACTCCCTGCCCTATTGTGGTTTCTGTTTCACTTCCCTTTAGCGCTTGTTGTGTTCAGTTGTGATTTTCGTGCTTGACCTTGGCTTTGTATCTGACTCCGTTTATCTCTCTATCCCTGTTTTGTCTTGTTTGTCGGCTTACTGACTACTGTGTACCCGACCTTGGCTAGTTTTTGTTCTCGCAGTCTCTTTGTTCCCTTGACCTCGGCTTGTTCTTGACTCTGTCTATTCTCTGCTATACGGCGAGTCCGGCCATTCTAAGGTCCGGTAAGTCGCATCTGCTCTATCTGTCGATTGTTGGACTAAATCTTGCGTGTAGGGGTAAACTACCGTGACACCAACACATGAAAATTTAAGAAGTGACTGTTCACTTGCTGACTAATATATCCAACCCTTTGACAGGTGCAATTGTAATGATATAGTCAGTGTTATTTACATCACCTGTCAGTGGTTTCAATGTTGTATCTGATCAGTGTATCATCCCATGTCACACCATTATGGCTGACTATTTCACTCTTCCAACATCCTGTCCCAACTCTATTCACACCACATTCACATCTAGTAGAATTCTATAAGGCTGCAACATAGTTATACAACCTATCTCAATCTCGTAGATTATTATGGATAGATAGATAGACAGACAGATAACAGACAGAAAACAACCAACATGTCCTGTATCAAAAACTTGTTCTCCCACCTTAACATGCAGTTTGTTTGTCTAACTATTGAATAACAGAGCTGACTATGTTGGTACTCTTTAAATATAATATTGTTTTGTGCCAGGACCACTATTACACAGGAGGGGCCTGACTGAGCCATCCCCTTATACTTCATGCAGCTGATGCTCCAGTGCCAGATAACTCACAAATTGCTAAATAAGAGAACTTGAGTTTCAATGGACGCCTATACCTAGAAGTGACTATTCCATCTATTACATTTTGCAAGTAGTTTGATTAATTGTTTTCATGAATTAAATATTCAAAGCTTACTTGGGGCGGGACCTAGGCATCACCAGATTTGAGGAACATGGCCAGGAATTTTAAAAACCGAATCAACAGCTGGCCCACAGTAAATGCTCCTACAGCAGTGCAGATTAATCATGCTGCTGCAGCAACTACCCATTCCTCCTCTGGGCCAGGGGCCCACGTGCACTATCTTCACGCAGCCGTCCATGATTCAAGGGGCAGGTTGGTATTTCGGGGAGCCTGTGGGCTCAAGTCCCAATTGATGGGATTTGTAGGTCTTTTGTACACTGCTCACCAGCCCCTCTAAGGCTTGGAGCCAAAGAAGCAAGGTTTTGAGGCCAAGCATTGAGCAGCAAGGAATCCATCAGGACCAGAACATTGTTATGATGAAGAGGGGAGACATCAGGTCAGAGGTGGAGATGGACTTTTTATTGTGGCCCACAAATGGCATAGGATATGATATACTGCAGCAGGAACCCCACCATGACACACAAAACCTGGTGACAGGGAGAGGAGAAAATACATCTGGCATGGAGCAGGACTTCCTTTCATAGCCTGGTTGAGTGGAGATGTATTCAGAATATATGTTTAGTTATCATTTTACTGAGACACCGTTTTTTTTTTTGTTTTTTTTTTACTGAGTGGTTCTGCATAGTCATCTTTTATCATGTTCTATGCTGCGCTTAGAATGTGACAGCCTGTGCTTGAACTATTCATTGTTCTTTACTCATGCAAACCTAGCTTGTTTCAAATTAGTATGTAAAATGCACAGTTTATTCCAAAGCCATGTCAGTGCTTAAAATGGCTTAAAATCTACACAGCTTATTTGGTACTGGCCTGCCTATGGTGTCAGATGATTTCTGGATGAGATTCTAAGTGTTTTACTTCTGATCTGTCTCTATCGTTCATTTTCTTATAACCCAGTGGTATCAAAGCATTTTAATTTTATTTTAGCTTCATGTCTACCACACTCTGTTTGAATACATGAACGTATAGCACGTTTCGGTCTTACTCGCAAGCACTATGCCCATCTCATTACGTATGATAGAAAAACCTGTATTCTAGCTACATTGTTTATTTTCTTGATCAGTATACAGTGGTACCTCTGTTTACGAATTCAATGCGTTCTCCGGGACGTTTCGTATTGCGAAAAATTTGTAAACTGAAACATGGTTTCCCATAGGAATGCACTGAAAACCAATTCATCCATTCCAGAGGTCAGAAAAAGTCAAAATTACCTGGCATGGAAACCAACCCACAATGCTTAACACACCGTAAAAGGCATGCAAATGACGAAGCTCAGCTCCCTATCTTTCCACCAAAATGCACCAAAAAAAAGTTCTAAAAAGTCCCCAACCACTGCAAAAATTTTCCAGAATGGCTCCAAAACTTTATGCAAAAACCGCTCCAACACCTCCAACACATCCACACTCAACGCCACGTGCTACCCACAGGCTCCAGCATGCACGGGGGCGGCGCTATAAACCTCCCAGGTGCAATGCATCCTGGGGAAACTTGTTTCGCATTGCGAAAAAAATATGTAAACCGAGGCATTATTTTCAATGGATTTTCATATGCTAACCGAGGCGTTTGTAAACCGAGGCGTTTGTATTAAGTGTGCCATACAGCATTGTTTTGCCCGAGTTTAGACATGTTCGTCTGGCCTGTTTATTTTACAAAAACAAAAAAATGAGACAGTATACCCTGGAGTATATATAACTACTGTGTTATTAATATCTGTAAATTTGCTCTAACTCATGTTAGTTTTCTGTACTGTATTGCACAATGTTTCAATAAAAATAAGACTGACACAAAAAAAAAAAATATCCAAAGCTTACTTCATTGTATCTGAGCATGGCTTTTGTAAGTTACAGTTTTCAACAAAAATGAGAGTGGTATGTATAATATAAGAAAAGGTATGTCACGTGAATTACAGCATTCCATTTAGATTTTTCATAACTTCCATTTAGGCACAACAGACAACAAGGTGAAGCTAAGGGTCAAGTGATTTTTGTCATATTATGTAACAACCATGCATTTATATAATTTATTTCATGTAGTTTTTTATTCCAAACATTTATTAGGTGTTTGTTGTTTTTTTTTTTAACAAGACAAACAGAAAATTCCAAACCTCACAATTGTATCAAAAGTCAAAGTATAGCCTGTTATGGAGAAACACTTGACAATGGGTAACTAGGCATAATTATGAAACAAATAAAAGTCAAGGGAACAAGAGCAAACTCCAAGTTTAACCCCTTAGTGATCAGACCGTTTTTCAATTTGCTTTCCGTTAAGGACCAGGGCTGTTAACATTTCAGCAGTGTTTGTGTTTAGCTGTAATTTACTCATTTACTGTACCCACACATACTATATAATGTTTTTCTCGCCATTAAATGGTCTTTCTAAAGATACCATTATTTTCATCATATCATATAATTTACTGTAAACAAAATTATAAAATATCATGAAAAAATAAAAAAAATACACTTTTTCGAACTTTGACCCCCAAAATCTGTTACGCATCTACAACCACCAGAAAACACCCATGCTAAATAGTTTCTAAATTTTGTCCTGAGTTTACAAATACCCAATGTTAACATGTTCTTAGCTTTTTTTTGGAAAGTTATAGGGCAATTAGTACAAGTAGCACTTTGCTATTTCCAAACCATTTTTTTTTTTCAAAATTAACTAAAGTTACATTGTAACACTGATATCTTTCAGGTATCCCTGAATAACCCTTCACATGTATATATTTTTTTAAAAGAAGATAACCTAAGGTATTAAAAGTGGGGTATTTTTGGCTTCCACATAGAAACTGCACAAGCCAGCTATTTGATCGCGAGGACCCCGCTACCACAAGGGCCTGCGCTTCCTATAATGCAATCTAGGTGCTCTCATCGCCGGTCCTTCTAATGCTGCAGCCATCTGAGTGCTCTATAAAGAGCCTCAGGCAGCTGCAGCACTGCCTCTCTCCTCCCTTTCTGCTCACCCCCTCTCCCCTTCCCTGTGTATCGCAACCGAGCTCCTCTCCGATTCGCAGTACAGGAACATCAGTGAGCACTTCTTGTCAGTCCGTCCGGGTACAGGAAACAGAAGATCCTGTACCGCGGACTGGACAGGAGCTCGGCCATGCTACACAGGGCAGGGGAGGTGAGGAGAACACAGGGAGAGGGAGTGAAGAGAATGGGGGGTGGATAGTCTACTAAGGGGGGGTGAGGAGAACGTGGGAGGGTGAGGAGAACGTGGGTGGGGGGGAGAGTCCACTTAGGGAGTGCGTTAGTGAGGAGAACGTGGTAGGGAGGGTGAGGAGAATGGGGAGAGTCCATTAAGAGGGGGGTGGGTGTGAGGAGAGCATGGGAGGAGGTGGGTGAGGAGAATGTGGGCGGTTGAGGAGAATGTGGGGGGTATAGACCACTAAGGGAGGGAGGGGGTGGAGGATCGACTAAGGGGGTGTGAGGAGAACATGGGAGGGTGATGAGAACATGGGGGGAGTCAACTAAGGGAGAGGGGTGTTTAGGAGAATGTGGGAGAGAGGGTGAGGAGAATGGGGGGGGAAGAGTCCACTAAGGGAGAGAGGAAGTGGTGGACAGACCACTAAGGGAGAGAGGGGTGGTGGAGAGACCACTAGGGAGGGGGGCTGAGATACCACTAAGGAAGGGGTGGAGGTGAGGAGAACATGGGGAGATTCCACCAAGGAGGGGGTGACAAGAACATGGGAGGGTGAGGAGAACATGGGGGGAGAGACCACTAAGGGAGGGAGGGGTGGTGGATACCACCAGGGAGAGGGATGAGGAGAGACCACTAAGGGAGGGTGGGGGAGAGCAGAGACCACTAAGGGAGGGAGGGGGTGGAGGAGAGACCACTAGGGGAGGGAGGGTGAGAAGAGACCACTAGGGGAGGGTGGGGGAGAGGAGAGACCACTAAGAGTGGGGGGGAGGAGAGAGCACTAATGGAAAGGGGAGGAAGAGGGGAGAGACCACTTATGGAAAGAGGGTGGAGAGAAAAGACCACTAATGGAAAGGGGGAGGAGGAGAGACCACTAGGGAGGGCAGAGGAGAGCAGAGACCACTAATGGAAAGTCAGGGAGAAGAGGAGAGACCACTAAGGGGCAGGGGAGAGTTTTAAGGGATGTAAGGGAGAGCTCTGTAGGACAGGGGGCAGGACAGGGAGCTCTTTCACACTATGCACACACACACACACACACACAATGCATCCCTATACATCCACAGAAACACACAATGCATGCCTACACACACAGAAACACAACATGCTTCCCTTACACACAGAGAAACACACAATGCAACCCTTACACACAAAGACAATGCATCCTTTGCACATATACACAGAAACACACAATGCATCCCTTACACACACATGCAAACACACACTGCTTCTCTTACACACACACACACAGAAACATAATGCATCTCTTACACATACTCAATGCACCCCTTACAGACACACACACTACATCCCTTACATACACAGAAACACACCTTGCATCCCTTATGCATACAAACACAGGTTCACACAAAGCATTCCTTAAACACAACCAGAAACACACAATCAGGGCCGGACTGGGAAAAAAATTAGGCCCGGGCATTTTTCAATCAGAGCGGCCCCCTAAGAAGGGGGCGGGGCCAGAGAGTGTGTGTTTTGTCATCACTAATGACAACACGCCCCCTCTCAAAGTGAGCATGTTGGTTCAATGCCCAGAGCCCCGCTGAAGAGCTCTGGCATTAGAAAAAGGCCCTGAATTTGTTCTGCGCAGTGCAAGCAAATTTAATAACATGCTTGCGCTGTGTTTGCTTTTAAATTGTCTCTGGTGTCTCCACAAGTGGGATACCAGAGGACAAAAGGGCCAGGAAAGTACATGGTGCATATGTTTGGAGCCTGCTTGTGGGATTGCGTGTGTGTAGAGTGTGGTGTGGTATTGTGTAAATAGGGCAATTTAATTTGTGTTTGTGGTGTAATATGTGTGACTAGGGGCTGTAGAGAGTGTGTGTATAGGGGGCATAGTTTTATAGGGGATGCAGCGAGTGTGTGCATATGGGCTGAAGTGTGTGTGTATAGGTGACGTAATGTGTGTAGGGGTTGCAGAGAGGGTGTGTTTAGAGAATGTTGTATGTGTTTGCTGACAAGGAATGTAGTGTGTGTGTGTGTGTGTAGGAGATCTACTGTGTAAATGACCCAGTGTGTGTGTGTGTGTGTGTGTGTGTGTG